TTCAGTATAATTTCAACTGATAGTTCAACTCTAGTATTGAGTATATACATTTATACTGAACAACATAATGGACCTTTTCCATTCGTTTAAAAAATTTAGCTTATTTAAATAAAATAAAAACATAAATTATCGAAAATTATCGCGAATAAATTGGCAAGGTAGTTTTAATTGTTGCTAAAACTATCTTTTTACTTGGTACGCATTTAGCAAATCCTTTAAATTGCTGTTATACGCGACCGCTTATGCGGAATAATATTTTATACAAAAAAAGGTAAAAAAAAAAAGGGCAGTAATAACAATAATTTCATACCCGGGTGTATATTTTTTTCACTTTGCTATCTTTTATTTATATAAGCGAAGTTATGTTTTTGTCCCTGCGAACTCTGTGAACTCTGCTATGTTTTCAATTAGAAATAGAAACTTCAAAACCTCGATGTGATCTTAAAACATTTACTTAGTAATAAACATTAATAGTGAGGTAAAGCGCTATACATCAAAAAACACAAAATTTGGATTTAGAATATGGATTTGGAATATGAAACATTTTTGTGCGTCTTTATAGTATAAAACCCTTAATGCAGCCCTTCATCATATTAGCGCAAATATCTGAAAAAAAGTGCAGCTAAATATTCGGAAACATAAAAAATATATTCGATTCTAAAATCCTGTAATTTATACTGATTGTAATACTTATTTGAAATAACCAGTGGTTCGAGGACATCTCAAAATGTCCCAAAGCAAAATGTAATGCCACCATGATGTTATCTCCCCTTCCCTTGTTTTGACGATATAGACTAATTTAGCTTTAAGTAGGCCGACACAGGAAATTTTAATATCGTCGGTATATTTCTTGCGTACATTAACATAGTAAAAGACTCAAACCCTGACATTAACGCAAATACACTTGACTTACCATATGCAACGTATCCGATGGTGTTTACTGATAAATAAATATGAATTCGAAATATGACGGTAGGCAATGGCTGCTGACGCAATGCTCTTTTGCATGTACTAACATTTTACATCTATACTAATAAAGTAAGGCTTAGGAGTTTTTGTTTGTTTGTTTTAAGACACTAACCTCCAGAAGTATTGGTCAGATTCAAATTTTTTATGTATAATATATGTTCATGGAGGAATCTTATAGGCTATTTTACATCACGCTACACACCACTTAAAAGCGCAGTAGTGACTAGATACAAGTGAAACATTTAGTTCTTATAATACTATTCTTTAGCATGTCCCTTTGTTATGCAAGGTTAACTAAACCTTGCAAAACAAAGGGACGTATAAAAATATACTGCTCGTCTGATGGTAAGCGGTAACCGATACCTCATAAATATCACTCTTTTCGAAGTTTTAGGGACAGTAGTCGGTGAAAAAATATATTCAAGCAGAAACATGCTGTGTAATTTTCTAAAAAAACATATTTATAATCACCATGATAAAAATTAATCGCTACTTTAAAATGTATTACTTTTAAATATATGTATTGCTAGTAAATAACATGCTTCTTAAGACTTATTTTATATACCATGTTGTGGGTCACATAAAGAATGCAAATAATTGTACTGCTAGCCATTTTTACTGTAACTGGAATAGTATCAGTTCAATTTGATGTCTTATTTTGAACTAATCATTTTAAACAAAGTTACATTAGAAAAACTAGCTTTTATTATTAGCTACGCCTGAAAGTACGAAGACGATACTCGTTTTCATAAATCGTGCATATTAACCATACATTCAGTGTTTTGACAATAAAAAAGAGTTGTTTCTCCAGAATAAGAACTGTAGAAGGCGTCTTATCTAAATGTTAGTGTCATTGTTAAATATGAAGCAGTGTAAAATTAAAGCAATAATTGTAATAATTATAAAGTTTTTATTTCGGAAAGACAAAGTATCCATGAAGTGTTAGTATTTAATTTAATTTTTACTTATAGTGTTAGTACGAATTACCCTCTGCACATAGTGTTTTATGTCCGCTATAGTTTTCATTAAAATTATCGTTAAAATATGCTGGTCATGAGATCTCGCTGTCATGGGCCATGCCCTTAGCCTAACCTTTTTCATCAACCATAAATGCCAAGGACCGTAATAGAACGGTGTACCGATTGAGTAGTCACAGAGCTAGATTATCAGTACGTAGTTACTAAATGGGTGAAAGTCTGAGTGAGGTACTTTAATCATGCAATGGTCTTAACCGAATCAACGAAATCACGATCGAATACGCGTAATTTCGAATCTCGATCGATCGAAGACTATAGTTTAGTGCTTTAGGGTATCTTCGCAATGCCCGTATAAATAATTTTTAGTACTATCGTCACACACTTATTTGTATCCAAGCATAGAGATTAGCTCAGAGTTCAGGAGCTTACATTAAAAAAGATGCTTAGGTAAATCTTATGAGTTATGATTTGGATGCACAAGTAATAGAGTGACAGTTAATTAGGGCCGGGTGACTTAATATTTGTCATATTTTAAAAGTATTCATATTGCCCATATGAGTAATTAACCAACTCGTGACTAGTATTTAAACATTGGGTTCATATTTAGCTCTTTATAAAATCGCTTATCGTCTGGTCACTAAGCTAAAAACAAATTTTGTAATCCTGAAACCATGCAAACTGGCGGTGTTTGCATCACCAAACACAGATGACCTATAGCACGACACGTACATTAAAAAGAGTACGAAATAGTTTAAAAATAAATCTAAACAAAACATTTTAACGAGCGGCCTGGCTTTGTCGATTAATCAATAGCGCACTGAGCAATCGCGCCTATCGTGAATCAGTTATTGGACGAACAGGTGATCCTTATGTAGAACACAATAGCAATTTTCTCGAACGCGCGGCATATAACGCGTGAAATATTGTATAGTGTTGTATGGTTGGTGTACCTCATCTAAACATGTGGAGTATCTCATAGCGTTCCGATGAACGAACAGCGAACCGGTATTGTTTGATGTAAAGGCATTGTTAGTTTCATCTTTATTTTGGAAGTACAGCGATGCGGCAAGTTGCTGTTATATATAAAGTACATAGATAACACGAGGTATTGTTTTTGGTTTGAATAAAAAACAACAAGTAGGAACAGGATAGTGGGCTAATAAGCTTTAGCCGACGAAATGCGAATTCATGAGTTAACATGGACGAAGTCTGAAATAAACTAATTAAATAAAATACAAAATTGAGATTTTGGCATTAAAGACAGGTTTGTGTTAAACCAATGAGGCGTCTTACCCGTGTCTGTTTACGTAGCATTGCGCATTAATTGAATAAAAGATACTTCCAACAAAGCTATGTTTAAATAACTAAGTCTTTATTAACTTTTGATAATGGATACAAATACATCACCTTGTATTTTTTTATTTGCACAAGCAAACGCATGACCCACCACATACACACAACACTGGGTGAATTTAGCTAACACTGTGCTCATGTACCAACCTTTAAAACTTTTGCTATAACTATTAATTTCAAAAGTTCATGTTATGTTTTCTCTGATTTCCGTTTTCAGTTAAGATCAATTATATCAGTTTAAGAGCCATAGAGCTCTTAGATAACACTCTCTAAAACCGGTTGCTCTAACTTATAGTCCCGCGAAAAGTAGCACACGATGTTTAAGTTCTAGCAACATATACGACCGAATATTTTCCTAATTTAGTACAAATATAACGTCTTTTCATAAACACCCTCGGATATTTACAAAACAAAAATTCATTACATTTACGTCACCTAATATACCCGGAAGTCGTTACTTCTCGAATGTACACACAGAAGCCGTTTTCTCTAATAAGATTATAATATGACCAATGCCCAAGGCGAGACTTAGTCACGGACCATGGTGTACAAAGAGCAAATCCACGGATAAATATTGTTTCAAACAGACCGACAACCGTAACAAAAGCAACGAGGCTATTAGGAGTCTGTACATATCTTTATATCACTATCAAGATTCAAACGTAAAAAATACAAACATAGAAGTAGTAAACGGATTATAGCCCCAATAAAAATGTAAGTATCACGATGCTTAAACAACCGAATCAATATGGTGCGTATAAATAGAGTAAATAGGTAGAATATTTACCCTGCGGGTACTTGATATGTAAATTGCGAAACAACAAAGCACACAAAGTAAACCTAATGCAATGGTTCATTAATGTTCCAAAAATCAATTATACTGCAATAAAAACACGTATTGAGAGATCTTTAGTTACGCGTGTTTTTCAATAATAGTTTCTACTCCGTCTGTATAAGGTATATCTGGGGTGATTAGTAGTACAATTAAGAATAATATAATAGACAGTGCAAATCATTCCAATTACTTCATTGTGGTAACGAGGAACGAAGCACGTGCACTACATTAATTTTATAACAGTAAGAGAAATTCGGAATAATTGCCTCTTCATTACAGTAATTCGCAGTTAGGTCAACTCTGGTAAACATTTAATAACGAGGCTGTTTTGGTTATTCATTTCTTTTTAAAGTGTTATTATGAACAATTGAACGGTTAGCTCATAGTTTCTACATATATTTTTATATGCGTGAGTGCGTTTTGTTAAATGTCAGTATGTCAAATTAGTTTTAATGGATATAGATGGAGGAAAATTCTACTTAATCATACCGTACAAACTGGAGCACACCTCTTTTTACTGAATTGATTTGTACTTAACGAACACAAGGAACCGATTATCACCGTTTCACACTAGCGTTTTTAGAATCATTTAGCGTATTTAATCTAATACGATTTACGGTCTTTGTATTTAGAAACCAAAATATCTCGTTGAACATGCAATGTGCTATCATGGAGTGGAACTAGAACTATGTGCACTTTCACGTATAAGGCTCAACAGATGTTCAATTGATAATATAATTAATTTCAATTGAACTAATAGCGTTTAAACCAATTTATTTTGGAGTACTATACAGTAGTATCATAGCAATTTACTTCAATAAGAAAATTGTTTCGAGTTATACAAATACAATTATTTTACGTTTCAGATGCCAGTCCAGTGTAGGATATGACACGGGACAGTTACGAGATGAAGCCCAATCGGCCCACACGTGGAAGCTCCTTCTTCGGTGGGAAGCCGCAAGTACAATTGAGAGCAGCTTTACAAACCAATGAGATTAACACTTTCAAGAAACTTTGTAGTGGTGGTGCTGTGGATCTTAATCACGTTTATGAATACCCGGACTATAAGACGTGTCTTGAAATTGCCATCTCAGAACCAAACAGGCAAGAATTTATTGATTATTTACTGGAGCAGAAAGTGGAAGTAAATAAAATCAATGAAACAAATGGCTTTGCCCCTATACATTTTGCAATAGAAAATGGTAACATTAGGGCTTTGGAAGCTTTGCTAGACGATGATCGGATTGAGGTTAATCTTAAAAGTAAGGGAAATTCGCCGTTATTAATGGCAATAAAGAAAATGGAGGATTTGGATAATGACCGCGAACAAGAATTAATTATTTACGAGAATATGATAGAGCTTCTCCTTAAAAAAGGTTGTGATGCGAATAGCTCAGACTTAAAAGGTGTAACCCCAGTATATTCCGCAAGCAAGCAAGGTCTAGAAACAGTAGTGATATTAATAGCCGATTATGCTAAAAAACCTATTGATATCGATTCATACAAAGACCGAAAAGGAAAATCAGCACGTGATTTTCTCAAAGAAGCTTTCCCGCATCTGGTTAGAAAGTTTGGAAATGAGGAAGTAGATATAAATGTAGATAAATTATTTTACTACCTCAGTAAAGAAGACGAAGATAATTTTATTCGCGGACTTAAAACTATGGCAGCGAAGAACGAACATAATTCTGTATTAAATGCTAATAATGGTGCAAACACTTTGCTACAGTTAGCTACTGAAAAAGGCATGGACACAGCAGTCGCTACTTTATTATCACATGGAGCTGATCCAAGCTTAACATTCTCAGGCAATTCAGAAAAACCTATAGCAATAGCTTGCCAATACGGATATAAAGGTATCCTTAAAATGTTTGTTGATAAGGAAACTACGTTCGATTCGGGAACTGCTGATTCGCTCCTGCAAATCATAGTGAAAGGTATGAGATCTTATCACAAGAATGAAAAAGCTGATCACAAAGGATGTTTGAAATTATTATTGGACAACCAGTCTAAAATTAATATCAACGTTAATCACCCTGATATTAAACAAAATACAGCGCTACATTATGCAGCAAGAAATGGAGACCAAGAAACAGTCTTAGAATTATTAAGGAATGGGGCGTGTGTTGGCTTGCGCAATAAGTTTAACGAACCACCTCTTGCAGATATAAATGCTAAGACACTGGAAACTTATTTGGACGAATGTGTTACGACGAACGGCGAACGACCGAGTGATGATAATTACGAAATACATATGCAATATAGATTTTTAGTTTATCCAAATAATTCTGTTGAAAACGAAACGTGTAAAGTACCACTAATGGATAATTGTAACAATAATATAAAAGAATTTGATTCTATTCTTGCACCCGAAACAGATGCGTTGCTATATATGACACGCAATGAAGAGTTGCGCCCGCTTTTAAAACATCCAGTCATCACAAGCTTCTTATATTTAAAATGGCAACGGATCAGTTGTCTATTTTACGCAAACATAACATTTTATTCTTTACTTTGGCTCTGTCTTATTCTTTACATAATTTTAGGTTATGGTGTCGAAAAGAAACAGTCCGATTCGATAGAAGTGTTGAACGTAATTACGCATGTCGGTGCAATTATCGGTTTAATTTTATTGATATTGAGAGAAGTTTTTCAACTACTAGTGTCACCAACGAGATATTTGCAAAGTATTGAGAATTGGATGGAAATAACTTTAATATTCGTTACTGCTGCTATTGTTTGTTACGACTCAGCAGAAGAGTCTACTAAACAACAATTGTCTGCTGTGGCTATATTACTATCATCCGCTGAACTAGTATTACTCATTGGGCAGTTCCCTACTTTATCAACGAATATTGTTATGTTAAGAACAGTGTCATGGAACTTTTTTAAATTCTTGCTTTGGTACTGTATATTAATTATAGCATTTGCTTTAAGTTTCTACACATTGTTTAGAAAGGAAGAGGAAGAAGATCAAACCGCCCCAAACCCTAATAGTAATGGTAAAGAAGAAGAGGAAGAGCAAGACTTTTTTGAAGATCCAGGTAGTTCGCTATTCAAAACTATAGTTATGTTGACAGGAGAATTCGACGCCGGATCTATAAAATTCAGTACATTCCCAGTTACAAGTCATTTAATATTTATTGTGTTTGTGTTTATGATTCCTATTGTACTATTTAATTTATTAAATGGTCTAGCGGTAAGCGATACACAAGAAATTAGAGCTGATGCCGAGCTTGTAGGATATATATCAAGAGTAAAGCTTATTTCATACTTTGAAAGCGTATTGATAGGTAACGTGAGTTCGTATTCTAGACCAAGCTGGTGTTGGTCTTATCTTCCATCCTACATACAAGATATGAATATTATAAAACCTAAAATGTTGTGCATAAAACCTTTTGCAAGACGTATAAGTCTTTTCCCAACCTTTTTGCCGCAGTACCGGATAATAGTGAAGCCCAATCAAGATAACAAAATCGAAATACCGCATGCAGATTCACACAGAAAGTTTACAGATGATGATGAAGACATTGAGAGCGGTGGTTCATGTTGCTTTGAACGGTGTCAAAACTACAGATTAGATCCCAGGATTGTGAAACACTCTAAAGCTGTGATAAGTAAAAAGACAACTAGGACCGAGTTTGATGAAATTAAAGATAAGTTGTCACTGTATGAAAAGAGGTTTGAAAACTTAGAAAGTTGGTTGAAGAAGGTTCTAACTTCAGATTCTTATCGTAATTAATGTACTATAGCTCTACAACCACATAACGCTTAAAATGTTCGTTATAACTCTTTTCATATATTTAGTTTCACTATTTTATAGTATTAAAATAATTAATAATTGAGACAAGATAAAATGTAATATTGCAAATTACAAATCTCATTTTATTAAAAATGTTAATAACGCATAACGCTTTAATACACTGTTTTTTTTGGTTATGAATTCCCATAATTGCTTTTATTTAATATATTTTACACAAAATTAAGTTTTTAATTTTGAATTTACTAGATTCCAACCTTTACTCAGAAACTAATGAAAGAAAGCCGCCGCTAAAAGTTGTCCGGCTCATTTCCTCCTTGGGCAATATGTTTTTGGATTTTTTGACAGTATTTTTTTCTCATCTGTTTAACATTCAGTTGGTTTTTGAAATCATATTGGAAAAAGAAATATTCATCTGGAGTTCAGGATTATCAGTATCGGATTCTTATTATTATTTGGATCCAGATTTTGTTTGAGCTGGTTCCTGAATTAACGCGAGAAAGACTTAATTACTTTAAAGTTCTTCGTCTTACAAATCACTTGCCGTGATACCGTATTCCAAATATATTGCGACCACATAAGTTGTAATTAGTTTGCTGCTAATTTATAACCTAACCTAACTAGTGTGTCTGTCGTGTAGTGCGTGTTATTTGCAGCGCTTCTTCTTCTTACCCGTCTTATGTTTAATTTCGGTTGTATGTCAGTGTGTTCGGTCATGTGTTATGTTGAGTGGAGTATCATTCAGAATATAATATTATATTACAAATATTTAAATATTACTCTTGTGTATTGTTGTAACATATTAAATAAGATGTGGATTTTAACTCTTTTTGTATGTAAATTATTTCATTAATATATAGTCACAATCTATTGTCTATTTTTTTGTCCTAAGGCTCCCTGGAAGAAATATCTTTCAGCACTAAGACTATCAGGTAGACCTGTGCGCCTACGTACTCACAGTGATTGCAGAAAATTGACATGTAGATCAATTTTATGCAATGACTGTGAGCTGAGGCTACACCGTCTGTAAGATATAAAAGCAGGGACACTATTGTCGACCCCTTACTTATCTTGAGGACCGCTATATTCTGTGCCGCTTACATAGAAGCCTTACTACTGGGTATAGATCATGTTTTAGTGTTGCTCAAAGACTTAGTCTCAGACTTGGTCTCGGGCTTGCAGCAAGAGTCTCGCAAGTCTTGCAATTACCTAGCCTATGGATATTTATTAAAAAAAAACAGAAATTACACAAGCTATTGTGTGCCTAGTTGCCTACGTGACACTAAAATGTAGGCACTTAAATAAAATGGTGTGTATTGTGTTCTTCTGCAGCTGGAATGTATTTACTACATAAAGCACGATAGAGGTTGTTGACCATAGTTGATTACAGTTGATATAAAGATAATATTAGTGAGTTGCATACATGTCAATAAAACAATAATAGTCAAGACAAAACAGTGCAAACTATTTCTTTTTTTTTATTAGTAGATGTTTACGAACATTTGTGTATTAAAAAAATGAGTTGTAAAAATATATTTTATAAAATCATGCTCAGCCAAAGTTTTTTTTTAGTTTAGCAATTAATAACGACCTTCAGTGTTATCTTTAAAAACATTGTAAACATTATCTTCAACAGGACTGCGTATCTCAGTTAATACAAGGTACGAATACGGTATACGGAATTGCATGTTACTAACATTTTTATTCATCTAATGAAACATGAAACTTCGTATAAGTTTGTCACAACCTTCAGTATTGATTATAGTCGAATTTCAACCACAAAATAAATAGAGTACGCGCCAAATAACGAAGTTGGCTGCAAATCGAATGTTGAACAGATACACTCGCAAACAAATGTACGGAGCAAATAAATACATTTTATTTACTGTTTGCGTGCATTATTAAGCTACACACGAGTAGTAATAAAATTCAATTTACTTAATTTAGAATTGTATAATGTATATTTATTTCTGAAAGGTTAACTTGAATGTTTTAAATACTAAAATGGCAAACAAGTAAAATACATATGACGCTTTTGGTAACAACTCCGGTCTAGTTATACGAGCACAGTTTCAATAAACAGACAATTTAGAATTATGATCAATATTTATTTTAGTCTATTAAGGTGACAAATAACTAAAATAATTTATCTGAAGTAATTCCCAGTACATCGGAGTTTTAATAGCAGCAGATCAAAAAGGTAGGTAATAACTAACTACATTCATGTTTTATACCCGGCGTTTGATAATTGTAGTGATTCTGCTTTTAAATATATATACCTACATTAAAAACTTTTTTCTAGCCTGCTTTTAATACGGAGCTTCTTCTCGGTATTTTGAGAAACGCATATAAAGTTTACAACAATAATAACAAACGCAAACAAAACAGATATGGAATACTAATGAAATAGATATTTACACAAATAAGTAACGTAGTAAATAGTACGTTAGAGCAAAGCAGTGAAATTATCGAATGCGTTAGAGCGGGAGTCGGCCCCATCCCTTCCGACGCGCAGGACTTACCCCCTGATACCTAAAAATGTATTCTGCAGCGCTACTCGAGCAAATTTCGTTGTCGCCGAGTTATTTGACGATTGCGCGTACTATAACTATTGTTTCTAACAAGATATTACTCTATTTAAACATCCAAAATATGTTGAATTTTTACTTATAAAAATAATTTATGGTTGATATAATTTTCGTTTATGGTTGATCAATAGTTCCTCCAATACAAAATTAGATCCTTCCAACCATGCTAGGCAGTGATGCCTGGTAGGTCACAACCCAGTCGTTTATGTTCAGAAGTTTTAAATATTTAATCAGCGTCACAACTTTCTTCTGTCGATGCAGTTATTGCACTAACAAAGTAGTTCTGCTGGTGGTCGTTAGATGGCGCTGGCACAAGAACTGCTGATCAGAGGCCACTATCGATGAATACATACCTTGTCAAGGCTCTGTATGAGCTGGCACCAGGACGGCTCGATGACCTCGACGCACATATAGTACTGCAGATGCTGAATGCAGCTCAACATACGCTGTCGCAATGCAAACGCATCCGCGTACAGCCGCGCCTCCGAAAAACGCTTCACCACTTTGTTGTAAAGCCATACCCTGAAGGAAAAATAAAAATTGTATAAAACGTTTTATTACGATTGCAATTTTTAGGAAAACAACTTTGAGAACTGTTTCTCAAAACTTCTTTCATAATATGCATACGTCTTATTAAATGTTTTGAAGTTAGACCTTAAGGTGTCTGCAATTTTTGAAGTACTTTACACACAGCCTTCTGCTATAGATAAAAATTACCCAGTCAATCGAACTCGAGACATAAAGTAAAGTTAGGAAAGGGCGAACTCATAAAAAAGTTTGACATGCAAAAGTGTTCTTGTAACCTATTTGAACCATAAACGATTTTATTTAATTTCATCTGTAGTAACATACAGACCTTTCAAGCCAATTAAATGAGGAAATAGAAACCTCAATAATTACTTGAGTAATTTTGTAACTGATGATATTCATAATAACCATTTATACCTAGAAGCTTAAAGAAAGAATTTTTATTTATTTACTTTAATTAAAACGGTTTTACAAATTACAACAATTAAAGACGTCACAAGATTTACATCAACACAAAAGAAAACAAAGATAAATATAAATCAAAACAAAAATCATCCCTTCTGCTCAAAGAATCGCAAACATACTAACATTATATTCGGCCATCCATCTGCAAACAAATCACAGTTTGGATTGGCACGCAGGAGAGCGTTGAGTGCAGAAAGAGTGCGCGATATGGGTGACTTAGCGCGCGTAATGAAGGCACGGCAAACAACATATGAGCCCGGTGGCTAAGGTAGTTATGGGGAACAAGAAATCGACACAGCTCATCATGAAGCATGCATCAACTATCACTCTAAAAATTTTACACATAATTGCAAGTTGGTGATCGTCTGACTTAGTAGTTGCAAGAAGCCGGAGAAGTCCAGGGGCAATGCCTAAGCTGCAAAGCTTTGTCAGCAGTATGTCATTATTGGCCCTATCGATCGGAAGTCGAAGTGAAGAACGTCTACTTGAGAATCCCTATCTAATTTGCAGATATAAAATTTACATAGGTCAGTAAATTTGAGTCTGCCGATCGCTTTGGTCTAAAGCCGTGCTGTTCGTTACAAAGGAGTTTATCTACTTGCCTGAGTATGTATTTATGGATAATAATATCAAACACCTTTGCTGGAGACGGCAAAACAGCAATCGGCCCGTATTCCTCAACCTTAGACTTGTCAGAACTCTTTGGTCAATACCAAAGAAACGCACCCCAATCGAAACTGTTAAGGGTAACCCATTGGGGTTACCCATAACAGTTTCGATTGGGGTGGGTAATGTCCAGATTTTAACGCCAGATTGAAAATATGACACAAAGGAACACAAAGGGCTTCATTTGCATGCTTAGCTACGGTCGACGAAATACCGTCTGGGCCTTTAGAACTACTCAACTTTTATTCCCCAGATGACGTCACTGCAACTCATATCTTGTCAATTTATTGAATCAGTATTAATTACAGGGATGTCTGGCAAAAATTCTTTCTTTTTCTTTTTAAAAGACAACGCCCGCATTAGGAATAAATCCTGTGTCGCGGGGGGCTTTACAAACATACATGAAACGGACACAAAGAACACCCAGACTCAGAACAACGATTTGTGGATCACACAAAGTGTCGTCCCATGTGGGGTTGAACCCACAACACTCGGCGTAGTAGGAAGCGGCGTGGCGACCGCTTAAACCACTACGCCATCCGTGCAGGCAGGTCAGAGTCAGAAAATACACTAGCGAAGACAGAAAGGATTTTTTTATTTACCTGCAAAGTCGCCCTACAACAACTTTGACTTAGCAGTCCTAACACACCTTTCTTTCATAATTAGTGATTATATCTAGAAACTAAAAAAAAGGATTTTTAAAATACCTGCAAAGTAGTCTTTCAACATGTTTGCAATAGAACAGATGTCTGAATATCATCTGATAGCAGGCAATAGCTTTATGATTTAATATCAGTGACACCGGCCATTTTACTTCCATGCCGAAGGAGAACGTTTCTATACCAGTGAGTGGCGGACAGTCCTTGTTCTGCTTATAATCTGAAATATAATATTTGCTTAATAATATCTGATGTCAAACAACGACTGATTAATCAATACACATGAATTTTAGAATTAATTTTTTTCCATGTTTTACATGTTCACTTAGTAAGTAGTCATTTAGGAATGAAGAACAAGGTATACTACACTTGTTTTATAAATTACACCAACTACAATTAATACATAAAATTTGATAATTAATATCACAAAACAATCACGTTTTTTAAATTTTAAAATATTATAAACTAAATGAAAATCAAAACATTTAAAAATATTATAAAATAAATTATAAACTAAATCTAGTGTGATTTAGTTTATCATTTAATTTAAATGATTGTAAGTTATTTATTACACATATAACTAAATTTAACTATCACACAAATATAATTTAAAATAAAAAGAAACACTATATTATGTACGGTATCATAATGTATTTGAATGGATTTACGGTTATAACTAGTATTGTGAAAGGGAAATTAATTGTTTATTATTTTTGTGATAGCACATTTTAAATTTATTATCACTGGCAATATAGGTCATCTCAATTTCTTCATATTTCTATAGACTCCCTGAAGACGAAACATTTCGAATTGCCGTAATTCAGTAAATATGGGTAACCTTACACTAATCCTGCGCTTTAAAACGACGTAAAATATTGTGAATACGAATATTAAGTAATACCTTTTTCATCTTCGGTTTCAATTGATAATATCTTAAACATTTGGAATTGCAAATCATACGGAAGAAGTTCAACACGCATATCTTCATTGTAAGGATCGTGGCTGGCCGCCGATAACCTAAAATGCAAAATATTTATGACTGTCAGAAAAAAATCACACCAGACCTGGACTGTGGAGCATAGGTGACAAATTAGCAGTCCAGTTTATATATATGGCAATGTATGTGGTATAGTAGGCCAAAATCTCCTTTCTAAGGAGAGGCTTATGTCTATTAGTGAACTATTAGAGGGTGTTGATGATGATGTTGCAACCCTGTGTTATTACTGTTTTGATGCAGGGCCAAGCCAAGCTTAATAATAGTACAAATTATTATATTAAAAGGTTGCATCTTAACTGCTGCTACAAGAAGTTCCATACTGCTAATTATACTGTTGTTTGTGATAATGGATAGATGTTTTGATGGCAATTGAATGGCTTAGGACCGAAGAAACCGTGGCCAAAAGCTATTATTTACATATTACAAATCCCTTTAAGAGTACATTACCTTGAACAGAGTCCCAAAAGAGATTCTAGTTTTGAAGGTATAATATCATCTATTTTCTTAGAGAGTTCCTGTTCTGTTGCATCCATAAACTGAACAATAAAATCGCCTTGGCTCATCAAGAAATAATTCTTTACAGATTTCAGTCGTCCCATTAGGTCATATTCCTTGAGTAGCAGTTCTAACAACGACTTGCTGGCATATGCATATGCTTTTTGTATTATGGCACCATAATTTTGCTCTCTTAAAGAGTATTTTATTTCTTCTGTATTAGTTTTAGTTATGGCATTACCTGAAATATTTTAAATATTATGAAACGGAATGTGATTTATAAATAAAATGAATTTTATTTTGCAATATGAGGGTAGTCTTTATGTTTTGTATATATTGTCAACAGACCTTATATACAAAACATTAGCTTTTACTGCCAAAATATTAATGTTACATACACGTATGTTACAGATTATAATAATCAATTTTAGTCATCTCTGAAATCTAAATATCTTGAAGCACTAACACAACTTAGCATTCTTAGCTTTGTTCAAATACAATTTGATTATACATTGATAAGGGTTATCCATTTAAGCTAGTGTTCATTGCTAACCAAATTATTTGTTTACTATGACATTTATACAAAATATGAATAATAACTTGACACGTCACGCACACGGCCATATTGTCCCAAACTAGGTAGAACATGTACTATGATAACCAGACTGTGGTCCGGTCCGTGTGGTTACGGATTAAGAATACAGAGTATCACCACCCCTATTCACCCCATGGGTGTTGTAAAAGCCGACTAACACAAGCACACTAAGCCGACACAAACCTTATACCAACCTGTCTGTATGTCTGTTCTATACAAATCTCCTTTCTAAGGAGAGGCTTATGTCCAGCAGTGGACTGGTAAAGGCTCTTGATGTGAACCAGACTGCTGATAAACATAAATAAATAATTCTAAATACATAAATACTACATATCTGTATTTATACCCAGACACAGAACAAATTACGGTGCTCATCACACAACCATTTGTCCTGGAGGCAATAGGACCCACAACTTCTGGTTCAGCAGTCAGGATCACTAATCGCTACATAAATAGACCTGTCCTATTTGAAATTAAACTTCAAATTAAATGTGTTATTCAAACCTACCACACTGGCTTATAACATTTAAATATTTCCCTGTTCTAAGAATAATATCTGTGAACTTCTCAAGAAACTCTGGTATTCTGTCCTTCTGTACACTGTACCGTTTCTCCCAATAATCAGCTGAGTAATCCACCGGGAGCTCCTCTTTATTTATTAATTCATTGTCTTCAATCATGAACTCCTGAAACAGTAATAGAAACAATATTGATAAAAAAGTCAGCTCAGACGATAGAATTATTACATTTAAATAAAATTTTAAGAGACTAAAAGTTAGTAAAACGATAATAGCTTTACCTGGAAGGGGTCAACAATTGTGCCTTTGTGTATCCACTGGTCCAAAATATTTAGGTAGGGCCGACAAGCACGTTCAGTGAGAAATAAAGAAATCTCTTGAACTCTGGCAACACCCATCAAAGTACTTGTTTTATCGTGTAACACTGTTAATACAGCCCCACCACGCAACTCACTCTGAGAAATTATGATAGGAAATTAAAATTCTGATAAGGCACATTCAGTGATTAAATATTTTATACCTATTGTCACACCTGGATTCCTATTGAAAATGATGATAGTTACAATATGAGCTCATACCTATTAAAATATGAAAAAAATAAAAAATTAAAAACTTTACTAGTTTTAAAATATAGTAAGGCAGTGAAGCAGGAAGAATTTCGTTTAATGACCTTTGTGCCACCGCCAAAGGTCAAAAGCAATTTAACTTAAAGTGCAAGTCTGTAAAACTTTCCACATTCTGTCATATTCTAAGGAATACATGCTAAAATAACAACAAATGGGCTGAACAGCTTACTAACCTTTCCAATATTACTGACGATGGAAGCAAGAACCTGCATAGTGTGCATTGTAGGCAAGACAAAGTACCAAAGTTTCTGTAATGTCAGGTTGCCAGACATTGCTTCAGTTTCCAATTGTGCAAGCATTGTCTAGAAGTAATAAAGGTATAGGTTAATATTTGTACATTGGCCAATGAACTAATGAAAAACAAAAGTACACAACTCACATAATAATCTTTTAGAAGTATTTCAATGGCTGCCACCAAAGCATGCAACACCTGACCAGACCACATGTTGCAATTTTCAATGAATCTCCTTACTATTGAATAATTAGAGGCTAATGGAAGCATTTGTTGAACAATTTGTTTTAGTGCATCATCCAAATCTTCGGATATAAGAAAAGTCCTTGCATCAAATGTATCTTTTACTGGTTGATGGACAATATAGTTCCCAGGAATTCCAGAGAAGACATACAGTAAGTCATCAATGATAATGTTCTCCTGAGAAGCCACTGGGACTCCAGCTGAAACCAAAACAACTTAATTTGTTTGGAAAACTATTTAATAGAGTTAACATAGTTTTATTAGGTTTAATGTCAAGATTTGAAAATCTATAGGTAACCTTCAGAGTTAGCAAAATTTGGTCAAAAATATTTATTAAGTAACAAGTTATTTATTGGAAAAACCAAAAATCTTGACTGTAAAAATGATATACAAACTTAATAATATTCTATATCTTTTTTAGCATTTCTTACTTCAAATTACATTCAAATTAAGTTATCTATATTTTTGTAAAACATTTAACTATTTTGAAGAAAATGAATTTCCTGTTTTAATTTTCAGATATCTAATGAACTCAATAAACAGTTAAGAAATTGTAACTACAGTTCAAACGCCAAAATCTAGAGTTGTTTAAGTTACAGAGTGTGCCAAAGCATTATACATAATATAAACAATAGAAAAACATAATCCCCTGGCATACTAGGGAAATAGTCTAATACCTATAAAAAATAGGACTAAAATTTGAATCAGGAAAATAGTTCTACTGTTCTGAGAAACCTATGTGAATGTATGGATATTTCGTTGCATTGTATGCCATGGAAGTGGGTGCGAGGTATATACCAGCTAAATTACTCTATAACCTGCTTAGAGACCATGGATTGCCAAAGCTTCAGTGAGCTCTTTTCTGGAAGGAATATCTAAAGCGGTATCGATAGGTTCGTATCACATATGGTTAGGTAGAGGGGATAACACAGCAGACAATGGAGGTGAGAATCCATGGAAACGCTAAGAAATATGTCTTTCCTTTGTGTAAAGTAGTTCAATAGGATTTTTGGGTAGTTTCGTAAAACATCACAAATGGGTTTGTGATGTTTTATAAAACTACAACACCACCACAATGTCACAAACAAATGTAAAAATTATAATTAAGAAATTTCTCCACTTACCTAGTGAAGCAATAATTGGTACAGGTTCTTTAGGGAAGTCCCATGACATGGAAGGGTGGTCCTTTTGCCAATTAGGTAGTTCTAGGCTGCTGTACCAGTTTGGCCTCATCTTTGACTCTTTCTCTTCAAAGGACTTCATTACTAATTTCTTGCTCTCGTCTACAGCTTTTAGGAGCTTGTCTTTAATCTATGTACATTAATTATTATGATGTATGAAAATAAAATAATAGGTTAAACAATGGTGAGTAGTTTCTAATACTGCAGCCTTGGCCAAAAGTATTAGGCACCCCAGAAAAATGCACAATTCATGTTTACTGATTGAACAATGAATAAATGCTTATCTTAGATGGCATGCCCGGGTCACAAATAGCTTCCTAGAAAAGCAAGCAGCTATTTGTTATGGTTATCAACACCTGGTGACTGAAAACAAAGGATTTGTTTTTTGCCTTCTTATCAATCAATGTTTGGTCACTTGTGTTCAGGACTCTAACGAGTAAACAAGTTTTTATTTGTAACATAGTGATTAAATTGACGCATAATTTATTTAAAATTGCCGAAAAGAAGTGTAATTAGTTTGGAAAACCGTGTAAAAATACAACTTTTTCATGTTCCCTTGAAGTTAGTGAAATGTTCGCGTTCAGTTTTCGGCAGTCACGGTAATAAACCAAGAACAGGCAGAAAACGTGTGACTTCGAAGCGCGAGGATAGAAAATTAATACGCGAATTTATAAAGATTGGAAGAAAACATCATCAGAGCATGCTGCTACTTTGTCCGAAGAGGCTGGAAAGCCAATCAGTGCTCAGACCACCAGAAGAAGACTTGGAGAGGGGGCTTAAAAGGATGCAAAGCCAGGAAGAAGCCCTGGCTTTCAGAAACTAAGAAAAGAAAATGGCTTGAATAGGCTCTACGGCATCAACGTTTTACTGAGGAAGATTGGGCCAATGTGGTATGGTCTGACGAATCTAACTTTGAGGTAAGTAAATCTTACTGATTTGGTTATTAATAATCATGGTCAGTTATTTATTTAACTAAAATAATAAAAGTTAAGGCAGTTTAAAAGTTTTTTTTTTCTTTTTTCAATAGATATTTGGAACGCCAGGTGTGACCTTCGTGAGGCGACGTGTGGGCGAAGAATACCATTCAGATTAGGCAGCGTAATAATCTGCGCCTGGCGTAATGGCTGCTCATGAGGTTAGCCAAATGTTTGTTTGCTAAGGTCGTATAAACAACGAAAAGTACATAAAAGTGCTTAAAACTGCGCTTATGCCTTCACTAACGAGTATTTTCGGCGATAACAACTTAGACGGAGTTATATTCCAGCAAGACAATGCACCTTGTCATAAGTCAGCGACTATGATGCAATGGTTTACTGAAAACAACATTGATTGGTTGATTGGCCAGTGCAGTCACCAAATTTGAACCCAATTGAACATCTTTGGAGCATTTTGAAGCGCAAGATTAAAGAGCATAGTATCACATCGAAAACGGCGTTAAAAAATGCGTTACTACAAGAATGGCATGTAAGCTTGTACGCAGCATGACTGCTAGAATTAGTGCAGTAATTAAATCCAAAGGTGGACCAACTAGATTTTAAGTTTTTTTGTGTAATTTAATGGTAATTCAATTCAATAAGTATAAGTTGTTTTTTTCCTTTATTTTAAGTAAAATGTAGGGTGCCTAATACTTTTGGCCAAGGCTGTGTGTTCTTTTAACATATATTAAGATATTTACCAAATAACTTTAGCAGAGCAATAACAAAACTTTAGTAATTAGTGCTATGTAATTGTATCATACCTGAGGAAGGTCTTCTTTAGTTATTTGATGTTTGTTGTCTCCGAGTATAGGCTTTGGTGCTACTTTTGGCTTTGAGATCTTTGACTTCTTATCATCGCATACCAATTTATAAAACAATGCTATTATATATGATAAGTTATCTGTGCTACAATGAAAAATAATTCAAATAAGTGTAAATCATAGCAAGCATGTGTTGCTTTTCACATCTTAGTTATAGCTAGTTAAAAGTAATAAATCCAGTGACTTAAATAATATTCTAAATAGCTGGTAATAAATGAAATAAATATATTTCCTTTAATGTAAAATACATACTTCTTGCTCTTGAGGTCTTCGTATTTTTTTAAAAATGTTTTAGAATTTGAAGCTTTTAGCGCCAATCTCTGTGCGTATTCGTTCACCTGCTTCGATGAAAAATTACTGTTACCATAGTTTGGATCGTTTTGGATATAATCTAATAAAGTGTCCACTTCCAAAGTACATCTATAAATTAAACAAAAGGGACAAAATCAATTACAATTGTACACACTGATTCTATTTGAGGCATCAAAAATATGTTGTGTAATAAAACTACGCTAACCCTAAAGCGTCAAGGAGTTCCTTGATAGTGCTCTGCATTTTATCTTTAGAAAATATCCAGTTTTGATACATTTAATAGCAGAATATTTTAAAAACCTCCAAAAGCTGCATTTGTGTTTAATAAAGTTTAATTCAATTTGACAGTTAATATGACAATTTGATTTGACTATGGACATGACGTTTCTTTCATCTTCAATACGGTTGGTAGCTGTTGGAATCGTTCCTTAATTTGTCACATTTTGTAATTGAATACACACAATCACATTTTCTTCTTTTAACATGTTTGCCTAGCATGACAGGAACATCAAGCTCAACCGTCTGTAAAATCTAACATGCTCGGTTACTTCGAAATGACGATTTTTCGAATTTGCAGTTTACATGGTGTCACTTTAAAATCGTCAGAGGTTTAAATGGGAGCATTTTTGGCGTCCAAATAATATATCCCCAAAGTATCTGATGCGCCGGAATTTATATTTTTTTCGATTTCTGCCCCTGAAACCGCACCAAACCGCTGAAAGTCATTTTATAACTTATTTATTCTATTACCTAATCTTTCAAATGAAATATGTCCCCATGACGCTCGAGTAAATCCCCATTTAGCATTATGGGCTCCCATACTATTAACTTTGAGTTACTATGACTTGTAATAAAACCCACCATAAAAGATAAGATAAAAGGCAAGTTTTGTTCAAATGCCGAAGAAGCGATGGCTGCCTGTGAATTAGCTATTGTTACACCTGTGGGAGAAACACTGAAATAAGTGTGTTCAAGACTGATTTAGGCGGATGGAAATTTGTATAGAGAGTGACAGAGAGTATTTTGAAAAAATATAATATAAAATGTAAGTATACATATAATGTTTACTTTTTGCGTACCTCAAATCTTATATAATGTCCTACGTAGGTGGTCCATTATGAACCAACTCCTTCCAGTAGCAAAGAAGCTTCCAGGAATGTTCTCAGGCTTCTATCTAAGCACGCCCTCGCGATCGCGAACCCGTTATGTGCCATCTCCCACCCACTAGGGGATAATGAGGGTGGAAGTTTCGTTTGTGCCCCAGTTGTACCTGAGACACTTATGTAGGTTTTTTAGTCTGATGGCTGCCATGACTGCCTCCGGTTTCCTCCCAGTAGCACTCCCACTCATTAGTAGCATACTTTACCTTGAGCTCGTTAACATAAGAACGTGGGTCAAGGTCAAACTCAAACTCTCTTTATTTCATAAAAAAATTAAAATTGTTTGAAATTGTCTTTTTTGTAGACTCCAAAGTCATAGATAAACACGCACAATAGCAACAATCTGTTTTGTCAAATAGCAAGCAAATTAATTTAATGAAAATTAAACTTGTGGCGACTTCCACATACGATGACATGTAGAAATATAGGCACAACAGCGCCATCTAACGAAGACACACTGAACTACGCAGTAACTGCTAATCCTGTATCGCGGTATTAACAATTCTTTCACCGATTAGTATATACACAGCTTCCCAACATCAACCTTTGGGCCGCGGCCCGCCAGGCATGATCACCTTGCCTGGTCGAAGGATCCTCTCTTTGTGTTGGAGCGACATGACGCCCGTTCCTCCACAAACTTATACAAAATCTATGATATCGTGCTGATCTACAACCGCCCCTTGCCAAGGGGTTGAGCCTTATGAGAAGAAAGGGCAAACAAACTCATGGCCACTCTTTTGCAATTCATAGATAGATACAATGGCATTATTAAATATACCACCACATTGTTTTGATGTGTGCCAGTATGTCCGTTATTAAGGACTAAAGGGTAAAAAGTAGACTTGCAACGAATATTCGGTTACTATTCGGTATTCGGCCTATTCGGCTGCTTTTATTATATTCGGCCGAATACCGAATATCTACATATTATTCGGCCGAATACCGAATACTTAAATAATATATTTTGTCATTGAGAAATAATTGGTAAAATGAAAAATTTAAATCGATTGATTACGTATATATTCATATTTTCATTTCTGTTATAATCATTTAAGTAGTCAGTGGTGCATAACACAGGTAGGTACATAATTATCTTCTGCATAGGAAAAATGGAGGATTCTATGTATTTGAATTATTGTGGTAATCAAAATTTAGAAGGGTAAGGTTCTCATTTCTTTTATAATCATTTATTAAGTAGTCATTGGTACATAAAACAGGTTCATAATTTAATTCACGTCTGTACAAGTTTTTGGCGCTAAAATCCAGCCGAATACTTTTGCCTAATATTCGGCTATTCGGTCAGGGGCCTCGCCGAATATTCGGTATTCGGTATACTGCCGAATATACTATTCGTTGCAAGTCTAGTAAAAAGACAATGAAGAGAAAACAAGATCAAGAAAAAAAAGAGAAAATGAAGTAAAACATAAAAAAATACAAAATAAATAAATGGTAAAAAACACACTATCCCACACCACATTTTTACTTAAGAAATAGCTTGCGCTAATTATTATTCCGAAGCATTTTTCTCTTCACTGTAATCCACAATTGAGTAATAGGCCCTCTGGCACAAGCCACGTCTGGCACATCACTTCTTTTCAAAAAGCTATCTTTGTTTAATAAACATATACATATTACATTTTCATATATATATTGACTTGCCACTGTCATTATGTTTATTTCTTTAAATTTCTGTCTCAATGCGCAACGATTGCCTAAATTATAAAGTACTCGAATCGCTCTCTTTTGCAGTACAAAAATAGTTTGAATTTCCGCAGCATTCCCCCACAGTAGAATACTGTACGACATTATGAAAATAAGAAAATATACATATGAAAATAACTGAAGTAAACAAGTCGTGCTGTATCAACATCAGTCAACTCTCGAATTTTTCTTACTGCGTATGCTGCTGAACTGAGTCTGCTCGATAATTTATCAAAATGTGGACACCACTGTAGCTTCTGCTCATCTGCCAAGGCTTGCTTTTTCTTTTAATTTTCAGATTCCAAATATATTTTTGTATGGAGACCCGCCATTGTTCTTTTAACACAAACACAAATGTATTTGATCATTACAATTCGTTATATTAAAATATGAACAGGCGTTAACATTTCATTTAATCGAGAGACGAACAGATTAGTATTTTTAAGAATCTAACAAAAATGCAAGACTTTTGTTAGATTTTAAATAAATTACATAGATATCCGATATTCATAAAATCGCTTCATATCTTCCCATTTTAAACACATGTATTCAATGTCTACGTTAATGTTTTCGTTTCTACTAGATGCTAATACAACAATAGTAGGCGTATTTGTGTTGCGGACCCTAAATAATATTGGAAAAGGGTAAAAATTTGATATTAGATGGTTAAATAGAGATAATAGAGTAAGTTTTTGTGTCTAACGTTATTTTTTGCCCTTAAGGTTTTTTTTATAAGCCAAGCTCTATGGGCCCTTAGATCCTTACCTATTGCTGGTACCATACATGCTTACTTCGGTAAGTATGTTTGTTTACCTGGGGTAAGAGCAAGATTTGTTCTCGCAATCAGAATAACTCAGGATACTTGGTTGATTGTTGATTACTTATAAGATAATAGTAAAAACCATTTTGAGTGTACCCACAGAGTGTGTGAAAAGGAGATAAAAGAGGCTTTTTACTGTGAACTGTATCCATTACTAATATAAGTATATGTAATCTTCTTTTACATTTTGTGTAGTTCTTACGTAAAGCTTTTGAATCCCAAAGCTCTTTGTCACAAAAAAAAATCACTAAAGTCACTCATTGGTTTAGACTTCTTCTCAAACTAGGTTGAGGTCGGCTTTAAGTCTACTGGGATACGGTTGAACTTTTTTTTGCTGCATTTTTTACACGGAGCGACTGCCATCTGACCTCCGCAACCCGAAGACTAGGCCCTATCGAAGTTCTGCAGAAAGACTGTTGTCGGACTTTCTGGGGCTACTACACGAAATGATTATTAATCCTTTGGAATTTGTGCCAGGTTTTTCTTTAATTAGATTCTTTGTTAAGAATCATGCGCAGCATTTTTGATTGGAATCCTTGTAGTATTTTTATAGCGGATATACTTCAAATTTACAAAAATAATATTATACAAGCAGATAAACAAAAATAATAAAAACTTGCCCTGAGGTGTCTAGACTCCGCCCCTATCCGAAATTATTTGAAATTCTTATATCGGTGATGATTATAGAGCTCCATGACATCGCTATTTATTTTCTTCTTAATTTTAATTACTGAACGGATTGCGATTTAAAATCTTTTTTTGTCTTGAATAGAGTATTTATTAAGGCGGTTTACAGACACACTTAGTAGCAGAAGAATAAAGATAAATCGGTTAATCGGTAAAAAAAATATCGGTTTTGAAATAATTTATTGTTAAGTTGTTAAATTGTTTCTAACTTCGAAAAATACGAACTTCCATACGAAATTTTGCCCCTTATTTTACCCCTTCAAGGGCGAAGTTTCCAAAAATTCTTTCTTAGTGAACATACAAAGCTTACAACATAAAAAGAATCAAATGCCAAAATGTCAGGTTTATTGCCACAGCGGTCTGGCCTCTATGTAGATGAAGTCATGGCAACGTTATATGTACGAGTATAGATTATATAGTATCAAAATTTAAAATTAATAACGCAGAAGAGAAGGAAAACTTTACCCAAACCCTATACCAACCCGTCTGGCTAGAGTGATATAGTAGGAAAAAAATCCTCTTATCTAAGGAGAGGCCTATGTCCAGCAGTGGACTATTAAAGGCTGTTTATGTGTCTTATTATTATCGGTCGTTTCATAAAAAAAATATCATAACACATTACATTGCATTGTTTATATTTACTGACGGATGAAAAATACTGACGGCGTGTCACCACCCCTATTTATCCCATGGGTGTCGTAAGAGTCGACTACAATAGCACAATAAACTTGAAACACAAATCCTATACCAACCCGTCTAGCAAGCGTGGTATAGTAAGCCAAAACCTTCTCTCTAAGGAGACGTCTATGTCCAGGCTGTTGATGACAACAGGTCATTTGATCAAATCACGCAAAAATTTAGAGGAATGCAAACGC